CAGCTCTTCTCCATCTGCTCTGACAAAAAATGAGTATGATTACACTTTCTGAAGAGGACGCTACATGATCTTGATCCCCTTTGGCCTTCCATTAAGTGTCCTTGAGCACTCTTTGATTCCTAGTACTGCTCTTATCTGAAACCAGCATAAAGTGCTCACCTTCAACTTCTACCACCCCCAGAGTGATCATTGGAAGAGAAAATGAGACCCATCTGCTTTTCAGCTTTCTACGATATACCTTTAGCATGAAGCTTCTTAGAATACCATTCAGCCTTCTCAGCTTACCATCTAGGGTGCTCTGAGCTTTCAACCTTCTTGTCTCAACAATCATTTTCAGTCAATCTCAAAGAGCAGAAAGTAAAATTAAAGACTGTAGAAGGTATTAGTAGAAGTGGAATTAGTTGCTGTTTTTCTTTTATTTAGTTTATGGAACTTATTGTTATTTTGACATGGGCCTATTTTTGTTTTTATAGGTCTCTTTTACTGCCATCTTATTAGGGCACTTTTGTAATTTTTTACAGATTTCTGGCAACCATATAAGAGATTGGGAGATTTGTTATGAGAAACATAATTCATTCTCCAATGCACGTCTCTGCCTACTCTCTTCTATCTTTAAAACCTAAGTTCCTTGCTTATTTTTCTTGATTTCTTTTTCTGTTTTCTATTGCTAAAAAGTACAAAAGGGTATCAGAGCAAGAAGAAGAAGACTCTGATGATGATAAAGACGTTCATAATGACTACATTTGAAGTTGTTTATGGTCTGATCTGAACTGTTTAGTTTTCACTCAGTTTTTGTTTAGCTTATTGGTGTCTTTGATCTCCCACCTTGCTTGACCTATTAGATTAATCTCTTTATTCTAAACTTTCTCCTCTTGCAGTTCCTTTAATCAGATCTGGTTTTTACTATAAATTGTAAGCCACAATTTTACTACAAGTAGTACTTATGAGAATTACTATAAATAGTGAGTTCATAAATTATTACAAATAGTAATTTTGTTTTCAGGATAGTAATGATGTGTCATCCTCAAATTGCCTGATGTTTAGAAGATTTTTGGAGAGTTTTTTACCTTTTTATCAATGCCTAGGCTTCTGGCTGACCTGTAAATGCTGTAACAGCAGTTTTATATGTTGTTTTCGGTGTTTGTAGTACTCGTGTGGCCTGAAATAGGGTGAAGTGGTCCTTGTAGGGGCTGTCCATACCAGAAATACAGTTGTTTCTCTTCTGGAACTCTTTTTCAGCAGTGTGGTAGTGTCCCTTCTTTGGTTCAAACAAAGGGGAATGATCCTATAGTTCTGGTTTACGTGAGTTCAAGTATTCTTGTGACAGTGGTGACAGTTTCTCTCTTTCCTGCTGTTCTTTGTGACTGAAATAGTGTAATCAGCCCTTCCTAGCATGTTGTTTGAGGATTCAGTTGTCTCCGGTGTGCCTTCTGGTCACAACTGAGTGAGTAGGGGATTAGAAATGAACTTACCCATGGCTGTAAATTCCCTTTGATGGACTCAATTACCTAGAATGGTTGAAGGGGATTAAACTCTACATAACTGCAAGGGGGAAGGTAGGTTATATTAATGGTAAGACTAAAGTACCAAAGTCAGGGACTGATAAAAAAAAAAAAAAAACCGAAGTCAAGGAGTGCAAACCATGATAGGTGGGATCAAGAAAACAGCACGGTGATGTTGTGGCTGTTACTACCCATGCTACCACAGGTGAGGAAGACATTCATGTGGACAGAAACTGCTTTTGAGATTTGGGAGCAAGCTAAATCTACCTACTCAGAGCAACATCATTATGCAAAGATTTATCAGTTGCAAACTGCTCCTTCAACCTGCTAGCAGGGGAGAGGAGTCTCTCCACATACTACACGGATTTGACCTCCATTTGGAAAGAAGTGGATCACTATTAGAATATGGATTGGAAATGTGATGTGGATGCTAAGGCCTACAAGTCTATGGTCAGCAACAGGTTTTTTCCTTTCTTTTGGGGCTGAACCCCATGTATGAATCTATTAGAGTTCAGATATTGGGAAGATCTTCCATCAGTGCAAGAAGTATATGCTCTAGTACAATTAGAAGAAAGTAGGAGGAATGCGATGAATTGTTCCAAGGTGGAGCCAGTTGCTCTAGCAGTCAGGGGAGGTGCAAAACTGCAAACACAAGTAGTGGAAGTTCTTTTAAGAAAAGTGATTCTCACAAAAGGGTGGACGATAAAGATAAACTGTGGTGTACTCATTGTCAGCGACCCAAGCACACTAAGGACACTTGTTGGGATCTCCAATGAAAGGAAGCTGACAATGAACCAAGATTTTCCTTCTAGTTCCGATCCAAAGGAAGATATCATCAACTCATTTTGTGACCATATTGAGTTGTATGGTAGGATACTTCGTCAAATGGATTCTAGCACTACTCCCTCCACTTCCTTTGCATCTATATTAGGTACTCTGCCACAGCCTTCCATGTATCTTCTCTTACTTTAGAGTCTCCCTAGATCATTGACTCTTGAGCAATGAACCATATGACAAGTAAGTCCAACTTATTTCAATCCTATAACCTACTTTCTGGGAGAGATAAGGTGAGACTAGTAGATGGTTCATTCTCCACCATAGATGGTCAAAGAACCATTTCCCTCTTATTGGGCCTTTCTCTTTCAAATGTATAGCATGTACCTAAACTTCCCATAAACCTCTTTTCCATTAGTAGCATTACAAATTCATTGAACTGCTCAGTAACCTTTTTTTCCTTCTTCTTGTGTTATACAGGATTTAACCTCGAGGGAGAGGATTGGTAAAGGTAATATGGTCAATTGTCTCTATGTGTTGGAGAATAAATCTGGTTTTGAAGCTATAGAGTCTGGTCTTGCAACTATAGAGTCTATGAGTTAGTCCAATATAAGTCAGGTTTATTTATGGCATAATCGTCTTGGTCATTTATCTTTTGAGTCATTAAAATTTTTGTTTCCGGAGTTGTTTAAGTTAGTGTCTATGTCCGAGTTGAGATGTCAAACTTTTTAGTAGAGCAAACATTGTAGAAATCTTTTCTTTCAAAGAATAATAAAGCTCAATTTCCTTTTCATATTGTTCATTCTTATTTTGGGGCCCTATTACTTTACCCTTCGAGGCTGGTTATAAGTAATTTATTACACTTATTGATGATCATTCCAGATATGTGTGGACGTATCCAATGTGATCAAGAGATGAAGTTCCAAAAATATTAAAAGATTTTCAATGTATGATATTCACCCAGTTTCAAATTGAAATCCAAATATTCTTGTCTGACCAAGCAAAGGAGTATTTCCACTCTAACCTCACAAAGTTCTTTACCTCACATGGATCCCTTCACCATAGCTCATGTGCTAGAACACTCCAACAAAATGGGGTTGCAAAAAGAAAAAACTATCTTCTTCTTGAAATTGCTCGTGGGTTGTTGCTTCATATGAATGCTCCTAAACATTTCTGGATGGATGCTATTTTATATGTTGCTTATCTCATTAACCGTATGCCATCTTGGGTGTTGGAGTACAAGGGCCCACATCAGCTCTTGTTTACCAAAGCTCCATTGTTCCCCGTCCCCATGCGTATGTTTGTTTTCGTTGCTTTGTTCATGACCTATCTCCCTCCCATGGTAAACTTGACCCTCGTGTTATTCGGTGTGTCGTCTTGGGTTACCCTTCTTCTCAAAAGGGCTATTGGTGTTGTGATCTCATCTCTAGGAAATATTATGTCTGTATGGATGTGTCCTTTGAAAGTGACCCCTTCTTTCCTGTTTCTCCTCACAGGGAGAATAGGGTTGAAGAGAAACACGTACAAGTTCAACTTCCTCCTCTTGCTGATCCTCCTCCATTCTGTGTGTTTCTTCGTTGCCGAAAGGGCCAGCTAAGCTAAAAAGCAGTAGAGCAACTTGAAGCCAAACCACCAATATCATCGAAATCTCTAAGGGCAGATACTTCTATTGCTAATGATCTTGACATTCCCATTGCTAAAAGAAAGGGTGTCAGATCTTGTTCTACCCAATATCCCATCTCCCATTTTGTTTCCTATGAGAACATCTCATCTTCCTTCCATGCTTCTCTTTCTTCCATTGACAGTGTCCCTATCCCTAAGAATGTGGCAGAGGCTCTGTTGGTACCTAAATGGATAGATGCAATGAAAGAGGAAATAAGTGGTTTGCATAAAAATGGTACATGGGATTTGATGGGCTTTCCTGATGGAAAAGAACTAGTAGGGTGCAAGTGGGTATTTGCAGTGAAACACAGGGTTGATGGCACAATGGAAAGATATAAAGCCAGGTCAGTGGCAAAAAACTATTGTCAATTGATATAAAGCCAGGTTGATAGAAATATCTCTTAGATTCTTCTAATTTCTTCTCTTCATACAAAAGACTATAGTCAGCTATTTATATGGCTAACTGGCAATAGAAGTAGGAGAACTCTATTCATTAACCAAAATTCCACCTGGCATACATGGCTTTTTTTTCTGTTTTTCTTTCTTTTCTTTGATCGATTAGAAAGGAATTTTGTTGAAGTATCAATTGGAAGAGAAGTACAAATGGAGGACAAACAGATAATGCTCTAGAGAAAATAAAGTGGGTGGGGGTGGAGGGAAGAACCAACTAGATTTGAGAGCCAAAAACAAATAGGCACTGCTAAAGCAAAACTATGAACAACCCAACCCAAAATGCCACCCAACAGAAAAGAGAAATCCCAGCAAATGGCCAATTACTTACCAACACAACACACAAGTTCACTTATATAACCATTCCAAGTCCTTACTTTTGTAATTATGTCACATTTGGTAATTGGTATACACTACATTGTAATGTCACATTTGGTAAGGTCCTTCTTACCAAGAGTTAAGCCAATTTAGAAAAGAAACATGCTAAGAAACAACAAAATCGTAAGCACCATCCAAAGAGCAAGAAATTTTAGGACAATATAGTCACTTTTAAAAAATAATGAAAACTAAAGCAGGTGCATAACTAGACTTCCACATAAATAGGATGCTTACTTATTTGAAGACTGATCCATTAAATACTCAAAGTAGCCTTCCCAAAATCTGCAAGTGAAACATGGATGATAAAGGAGAAATATAAGGATTAATTACACAATAATATAAAAGGAACAATAATTTAATAAATGAATTCATTCCATCAAGAGCTTAAGGAGATTCTAAGTAAAAGTGATGGCACATATTTGAATAAAGAAGTAAAGAACCATATTTTCAAAATGAAAAGAAACATTACATGAGGTACAGACAGCCAACTAGGGCATCCTAACCCTCATACCATGAAGGAAAATTAGACTCCAAAAACAATTATTACATTACTGAAGAAAAATTAGACAGAGAGTATGGCATGGACCAATTTAGCTTTAAAATTTCTAGCCACCCGAGATCCAAGATATAACCGTGGTTTTTTGTTTGATTGATAGCAGCAAGCCTGTGTTTTACTGGATGGTTGCAAGAAATTGTTGTGACTATGTGAACTCATCAAAACAAAGTCATCCAAACATGCATTCATTGGGTGCTTTGGTTTATCTCTTGACTCATAGCATGTCTGGGTTCTTTAGAAACCACAAGAAAGTGTAATGATTATGTGAACTCATTGCTCCACATGTTAGGCTACCTTTGTATTTCTTGATATTCCTAGTAAGGTAGTGGATCCTAGAGGTAGTCTCCATTTTTTCATATAATAGCGGGTAGTTCATGTATCACTTGGGGTAGCAACAAGAAGCATGCACTCACTGGGTAATTTTGTCTTTCATTTGATTGATAGAATGTCTATGTTTTATTGTAGAGTTGCAAAAAATTATAGTAACCATGTGGAAATCAAAGCCAAATCACCTAGGCATGCAATCACAAGGTGGTTTTAAACTTGATTATTAGCATGATCAAGACTTATTAGAGGGTCACAAGAAAGTGTTGTGACCACATTAACTCATTGAAATCAAATCACCCAAGCATGCACTCATGGGGTGATTTGGTTTTTCTTTGTATTGATAACATGTTAATGTTTAATTGGAAGGTCACAAGTATTGTGACTATGTGAACACATCACAACACATGTTAGGCTACTTTGGCATTTCTTGAATGTCATAGTAAGGTAGTAGACCTTAAAGGTAGTCTTTACTTTTCATTATTAATTCTCGCCTAGTCGCCTAGGTGATGGGGTTTTTTGAATAAAAAACATGAATCCTAGGGTAATTCCTTAGGCTATGTTTGATTTGAAGGAAAAGGTAGGGAAAGGTAGGGAAACCTATACGAGGTTTGTAAAGGTTTCACTACCTTTCCTTCAAATCAAATACAGCCTTAGGTTCCCTAGCAAGCAGCAACCATCTTTCACTATTAATTGTCTATAATTTTCATATAAAAGTATAAGCTTTATTTGAAACATAGAAAATCAACATATTCATGAAAAAAAATAGAAGAAAATAAATTTTAAGACTGAACCTCTATTTTTGTCCTAGGAAAAGAAGAAAAGAAATCAACATATTCATGATGATGATGATGATGAAAATAACAATGTGTTGACTGGATAAAATTTTGAGTTCTTCCATGCTTATCAGTTCAAGTTTTGAAGTCTTTGAGGGTTCAAGATAGTATAAATGTTGATTGAACCCTAACAAATGAGAAAAATAAATAAAAAAAATTAGCATTTTAACCTAAACTGAATAATTTAGTTTAGTAATGTCTATTTTATTTATTATAATATCAAGAAATTAAGAATATAAAAGCTGTTCTCCTGGAAGAAATCCATAGAAAGAGAAAGAAGGGAAGAGAGAAGAGAGAAGGAGAAGAGAGAAGAAAGAAGAGAAGAGAGGTAGAGAGAAATAGAAGTTTGGGAATCAAAAAGTTAGGTTGGTAGCGCCAACTCTTCTATTTATATTAGGGTGACCAAACTAATAAAATAAAAGGAAGTACAAAGACAAAAAAGCCCATAAGGCTTTGAGTACAAGCACTATTAACTCTCCCCCTCAAGTTGGGACATAGATGTCAATCATGTCCAACTTGTCACAAAAGCCACTATGTTGCAGGTGATGTAGGCCCTTTGTGAAGATATCTACAAGTTGTTATTTATTTATTTATTTGATCAATAACTGTGGATTGAATTAAGATTATGAAAATTACAAAGCAAGGGAGCTAAACAATCTCAACTCCCGAGTACAACTAGTGAACACCAAAAGTAAAGCAATTACAACATAACCCAAAAAATAGAGTTTCTATTCACCCCTTGCCTAGCTAGACCATATGCCAAAGAATTTGCACTTCCCTTTACCCATGTGCATTGAATTTCAATGTCCTTAGTCTGTTAGTCAGCCACTTAAATTTTCTCTTTTCATTGTTGTAATTCCAAAGCCTAGAATTATCCTCTTTTAGCCAGTTCAACACAGCTTCAGAATCTCCTTGTATGATCAACTTATTAATATGCATGTCCTTGACCCTTTGTGCCCCTTCAAGAGCTGCTAGTATCTCAGCCCTCAAGGAATCTTTCACCCCTATTGGTCCAAAAAACATAGCTAACAGATTCCCTTTTTCAACTCTTATTGCTCCCCCTATTCCGGATGGCCCTGGATTACCCATACTGCTGCCATCAAAATTCAGTTTAGTAAAACCTTGAGGTGGAGGAATCCAGCAAGAGCTTGAGGCCTTCTTAGCTTAAGCTAATTCTGTGATCTCCTTCCAGTTTCTTAGCAACTAGGGTGCATACTTCGCCACTTACAAGCTTCTCCCTAATAAAGTATGTCTCCACTTCAATGCATTTAATCCTATCATAAAGGACCGGATTGGTTGCAATATTGATAGCAGCCTTGTTGTCACAATACAATAACATAGGACTATCAACTGCAAATCCCAATTCATTCAACAAGTTCTTTATCCACAGTATTTAACTCCATGAGACAGCTTTGTATTTTGCTTCTGCACTAGACCTAGCCACCACACTTTGTTTCTTGCTTCTCCATGTGACAAGATTTCCTCCCACGAAGGTGCAATATCCATTGGTGGATTTCCTATCATCTACTAAGCTAGCCCAATATACACTTCCAGCTTTAAATGCCCATGCTTCTGGAATAACAAACCATCCCCTAGATACTTCTTAAGATATCTAAGTATTCTGTCAACAGCCTCCACGTAGGCAGCCTTAGGGGCATGAATGAACTGACTAAGAACACCCACAGTTAATGCAATGTCAGATCTAGTTATAGACAAATACAGGAGCCTTCCCACAAGCCTCTAAAACTGTTTCACATCCTTTTTAGTTTCTCCATGACAGTCACCCAACTTATGATTAGGATCAATGGGAGAATCGACCGGCTTTACTCCTAGTTTTCCTATAATAGATCTAGAATGTATTTCCAAGGAAATACCTCAAGGAACTTAGATCTTTTAGCTCAAACTAAATGGCTAAAAACTTCTTCAGCTTTTGAATTTCACTTGTCCAATCTCCAGTCACTACCATGTCATCAACATACACTATCAAAGCTACAATTTTACCTTTCCCCCTCTTCACAAACAATGTATGGTCAGACTAGCATTGCTTAAAACAGATCTGCTGCACAACTAGATGGAACCTATTGAACCAGGTCCTTGGTGACTGTTTTAGGACATTCAAGGATTTCTTCAATTTGCACACTTTCTACTCACTGCCTTTAGCACAAAAACCAAAAGGTTGAACTATATACACCTCTTCTTCCACACCACTGCTCAAAAAAGCATTCTCGATATCTAACTGGTGAAGGTCCAAATTAAAATTGGCTGCCAATGAGAGGACTCTAATGGAGTTCATCTTGGTAACTGGGGAAATTTTCATTGCTTAATCCACTCCATACACCTATGTGAACCCCTTTTCCACCAATTGGGATTAATACCTTTCCACTATGTAAAGCACTTGCATCCTACTAGTTCTTGTCCTTCAAGAAGGTCCACCAACTCCCATGTACCACTTTTATGTAAAGCACTTATTTCTTCCTTCATTGCATTTGTCCATTCAAGTACCGACAAGGCTTCTACCACATTCTTAGGGATAGGAACACTGTCAATGGAAGAAAAAAAGGTACAAAAAACAGGTGAGATATTCTTATAGAAAAACAAAATGCAAAATGGGATAGTTGGTGGTACAAGACCTGACACCCTTTCTTTTAGCAATATAAATGCCACGATCATCAACAACAAAAGTATCTATACTGATGGGATCAGACATATCAATAGGGATACTGGTATTTGGCTGGGAAGGATCTACCCCTAGAGATTGTGATGATGTCAATGGTACAACTTCAAGTTGCTCTACAGTTTTTTAACTCGGTTGGCCCTTATAGCAACAAAGCAGCACACGATACTCAGCTGGCCCTACTATTTTTGAACATGCTTCTCCACAACCCTACTCTCCCCTTGAGAAATAGGAAAAAATGGGTCACTCTCAAAGGACACATTTATAGATACATAGTATTCTAGAGATAGGATCAAAACACCGGTAACCCTTTGCAGAAGAAGGTAAACCTAGAAAAAACAAGGAATGGCATGAGGGTCAAGTTTACCACAAGAGGGAGATAGGTCGTGAACAAAACAACAGCAATCAACCACACACATAGGGACAGAGAACAAGGGAGCCTTGGGAAACAAGAGTTGATGTGGGGCCTTGTACTCCAAAAACCAAAATTGGCATATGGTTAATGAGATATGTAGTAGATAAAACAACATCCATCCAAAAACATTTGGGTACATTCATATTAAGTAACAACCCACGAGCAACTTTAAGGAGATGGTGGTTTTATCTTTTTGCAATGCCATTTTGTTGGGGTGTTTTAGCACAAGAACTACGGTGAAGGGATCCATGTGAAGCAAAAAACTCAATGAGGTCATAGTGGAAATACTCTTTGGCATTGTTAGACTAGAAGGTTTGAAATTCATTCTGAAATTGGGTAAATATCATACATTGGAAGTCTTTTAGAATTTTTGGAACTTCATCTCTTGACCGCATTGAATACACTCATACATATCTGGAATGATCATCAATAAGTGTAATAAAGTACTTATAGCCAATCTTGAAAAGTAAAGTAACA